ATATAAGCAATTGCACCTGGCTGAGCGCGCGGAGCACCTCTGCCCCGTTTTAAAACTGGAAGAAAATGGGAAGTTCCAAAGTTGATGCTACACCTATGGTGCAATATTAATAATGATGATGTTAATGAAGATATTATTGCACTAAGTACTAGTTTAAAAGTATTTACCCGCCCATGCGCGTGTATGTATACATATATGTATTATATTATATATAATACAGAAATGTGTACATACACATATACCTATATATAACGTAGTACACACACACACATTTAACACATGTGTTATGTACACAAGCATATATTTATAATATATATATATATATATATATATATATATATATATATAATGTATAAATGTGTATACATATACATATATATGCAGAAATATAATATTAAAAATATACACTACTACCATATATATAACAATATAGAGTTTAAGGTTTATATGATTTCGTATAAACAGGGCTACGGCTAAGAAAGCGAGGTTCAGGGTTATCTTTCGTATGTGTACATTTTTATGCGATATGTTATGTAAGACTTGTTACTGTCTTTTTATATATCATTTATGCTTTAATCTTGGGCAATGTGCAGGCCTCCAAAAGTGTTCCATGACGAATAATATTCGGGGAAGTATCTCATGTTTAAAAGAATATATTATGAAAATTTTACATTAGGTTTTACAAAATACTTTTACTTATTATGTATGTATAATTGAATATGCTGGGAGGCGCTTAGGACCCGCGCATTTTCAACTGATTTCTATAGTTTTCCGATGTTGATAACTAACAACTTGTATTTATTGTTATTTCATAATGTTACATCAGTAAACCAGTGATTTGTTAATTGATACAATTCAAAAACAAAATCAGATTCGTCAACTCTAGTACAATTCCTAGAAATGGGGGTGGAGTCGCACCTGTGGCATCAGCGTCGAAGCATCGGCAGCGTTGCTGTCGCGATCGGCCCGGAGAGGTGTCGCAAATGAAAAACTACACTTTCTAGTGTAGTTAGACAGTTTCTTGACGCCGGAAAAAAGGCCTTATATTGGGTGAAGTGGCCAAAAGGGTGAACAAATGAATTGGCTGAAGTAGTAAATTGGGGTGTGAAAACTAGCCGAAGGGGTTAATTGGAACAAATGGTGTTATGGATGAATTAATACAAATAACCTGGCTGAAAGAGCTAACTGGTACAGGTGTGATGGATTGACTGAATAAATTTCACCATTGTTTTAACGGTTTGAAAGGATTGTATGATCTAGTTAGATATTGAAAGAAAACAATTTGCTTAGCAGTATCACCCTTACTGTTATTATTATCAACATTTCTGTTTTATTTTTGGTATTCTGAACCGATTATCATTTATCATGATCAGCAGCACAATGATACATAAAGAGTCATCATCGGCAACAGCATCAAGTAGCAGCACCGTTATTAACCGCATCATCATCATCATTGCCATCATCATCATCATCACCGTCATCATCTTCACAATCTCTCTTTCTCTTTCTCTTTATTTTAATTATCAATGTTATTATCCTTAATGAGGATTATATAATGATAATGATAATAGTAATGATGAGAATAATATCATTATCATCATCATCATCATTATTATGATTATTGTAATTATTATTATTATTATTATCATTATCATCATCAAGATTATCATTACGATTACTGTTATTGTTTTTACTATTGATATTATTATTATATTATTATTTAATAATTATTATTATTTCAGCTTGTGCTCTGGCTGTTGAAATTGCCATCTTTACCCTGTTTAGGCGGGTCATAACAAATGGCTAACAGGAATTCTCTACACTTTCCACAGGATCCTTGCAGTTCATAACAAAGGCAGTCTTTTTGTACAGCTCCGATATCGCCCAGGACCCCAATTTTTCAAACCACCTGTCAAATTCTTCTGTCACACTTCCAAGGACACCTACAACCACAGTGACAACCTGCACCATCCTCATATGCAACCGTCTTTCAATTTTCCTCCGCAAGTCCTGGCATTTTCTCTTTCTTTTCCCATCGGCCAGCACTGCAATATCCACTAACGACATTGGAATCATACTCAATACAAACAGCAGTGTGGATAAACTAACCCAGAAATATTCCCCTCTTCACATCAACATCATCAGGTTCTCCATTACTGTTGAAAGCTTCCCCTGACCCATACTACTTTGTAGAAAGTTTCTCACATTCTCTGCAATTCCAAACATTTCAATACATTCGCTAATCCCACTATGGGGAACAAGTCTTCAGCTTTTTTTTTTTTATAATATATCCATGCCATAGCCAGAATAGTATGTTTTTTTCCTACATTCTCTCAATACAATCTTGTCAATTAACAGTCGATATTTTGTACCACGACTCCCACATCTACACCCTTTTGTTCTGGCAGAAGATTCTTTCTAAATAGATGTACATCTCTTCTGCCACCATTCCTGTCAAGAGCTTCCACATCTAAGGGAGGCACGTGATAGGGCGGTAGTTTTCCATTGTATCACCCTTCGCAGGGTCCTTTTGACACAGTACTGTACGACCATATGTCATCCATGTAGTTAAATTATCTTCACCCTCTAGTATGTTATTCAGTTGGTAAGCAATTCTCATATGAAGGTTATTGAGGTTTTTAATCCAATATCCTTGGACACCGCCTTTCCCTGTTTTTTTTTTTTTTTTTTCAATTTGGGATCCTTCGACACTGTTTCTTTACATTTTCAACACTAATCTTTGTTACTAATCTATTATGTTACTTTTCGACGCTCCAAACCTACTCTCTTCAGTATGTGGTACATATTTCCACGTTCTTTGTATATATTTTTTTGATCAGTATTAAACATCCTGTTTTGTCTGAATTGAATGACTCTTCTCTTATCTTTATTTTTTTTTTGTGCGATCTTAGCTATCAACCTCTGCTTTAGTTCTTCGATCACAGTTGTAAGCCCTTTTCTTTGAACTACTTTTTGTTTCCAGATCTTTCAGTTTCCAGATCTTCTTTGCCCCAAATTCACCTTTCTTTTCTCTTTCCAGCAAGTTGGCCTCCTGTTTCAATCTTTTAATAACACCCTCGCGATTTTCTTCAAACCTAGCTGTTCTGCAACCCACACACTTGAGGCCCTGGTTAGGTCATTCAACTGATTATAATCGTTTAATGTGATGGTACTAGTTTTTCAAAAACTTTATTGCTCCATTATCTTTTTCAGTTTTACAACTGACTCTGTTCTTGGTCAAACTCACAACGCTGATTTCAGCTTCACGTAGTTCACGTCATATTATATCAGCATCCTCTGCCTGATTATTATCCTCCTCGTCGTTTCTGGCCCAAGTTACCTCATTCACATTTTCAATCTGAGCCCCGTCCTAAGGACTTCCATCCTCGCTCTGTACGTCATCTTACATTTTCCTCTTAATCATTTCCAACTCAAGTTCTGATAGCCATCCCGTTCTTTCTAATTACCCTCGCCTGGTCACACACGTTGTTCCAAATCAAACATACCCTTAATCACCATTCTGCAAACACTCTTTGTAGCCACTGCTGGGCCTCCCTCTTTGGCAAAAGGCTTACTTGTATAATGCAGTCATCACTCCTTATTTACTTTTTTATTCCATTCTCAGGTAGTAGTAGAATGACGACCGGCCCCCGCTGCTCACCCGAACGCCTGCCGGACGAGAAGCTTTCACTTAAAGTTCCAGCTCCATTTACTTCGTTATTGGATAAACTGATTTGACATTTAGAACTCATATAGAGATTTAGTGAATTTAAGGTTGCACTACCACCAGTGTTTTTGTCGACACCATCTCTAGGAAGGTTGCCAACCAAGAAAAAAAAGTCATCATTTATCATTATCATGTCTATTATCTTTATTATTTTTGTTATTGTAATTATCATGTTTAATTAGCTTATTATTTATTGTCATCATGGTTAAAATTTATCACCATAGTTATTATTTTCTATTATCAGGTTTATTATCATGATCGTAATGATTATAGCGATTATTTAGGATTATGATGAGTTTGATTAGGATGATGATAATCATCATCATCATCATCTCATCATTGTTTTATCATTATCATTCTTATCATTGTTAGTATTACTATTATTATTATTACCATTGTTGTACTTATTATTGTTATGTTGTTATTGTGGTTATTATTACAGTATTTTTTAATACTTTTAATACTTTTATTTTCATAGTTCTACTAATGATAATGATACAAGAATATTATAATAATAATCATTATCAATTTTAATTTACTATTATCGTCATAATTACAGTAATATTGATTTTGAAAATACTTCTTTAGTTATTTTTATTATTGTTATATTGTCGTTGATATGATTGTTGTTATGATTATTTTAATTGTTATTTTATATATTGATGTTATCATCATTGTTATAGCTATTATTAATATTATTATTTACTATTACTATTTTTAAGCCATACTCATCATTACTATTATTACTCATTAATATTAGTATTAGAAGTAGCAGCAGTAGTAGCTGTGACTAGTAGCATTCATAATCATTATTGTCACATTATCACACTGATAGCAACCGTAGTAATTGTTAATCATTTTATATTACTATCAGTTTTTTTCTTATTGTAGTTAGTATTAAGATTATCATGATCTTAATTGCAATAATTATTATTCTAATAACGATGACGATGGTTCTACTTGTAGCTTTTAATCATCATAACGTCATCATCATTAATAGTTGCACCTTTAGATCCTTTAATAACCATAATTGTGATAATAATAATTACGACCATCCAGGATGGATCCTCCCACATCCAAATTGGATTTATGGGACATGCATGTTACTTTCCCTCTCGACTTTAACCACCCTGTATAGAAACTCACAAGTGAGTACTGAGAGGGGGTGACCAGCGCGAATCTAGGACCCTGCGATTGCAGAGCCATGGTTCTACCACGAAAATTATTTTTATTCTTCTCATCACTTTGAAACTAATTGTACACTTGGACTTAGGTCTAAATCCTCCACTACGGCAGCCAAGTGGAGCTCGGGGAAAACCTATCTATCTCAACACAAATTACTTCCCTATCAAAACGAAGGCGGAAGTCAACCTAGTCCAGTATGATGTTTGTATCATGCAACAGACCAAGAGTGATCTTAAGATCGGGAAGAAGGAAAATGTGTAAGTATTTAAAACTCTTCTATATGTCAGTTCATAGATTTATTTATGTTATTATGATATAGATATATATATATATATATATATATATATATATATAAATATATATA